AGAACCATGGTGGGAAGCCCAACCTCAGAAAAACAAGACTGTTCATGGAAATAGCGGATCTTTTTGAGAATTTTCAGCAGACTTTGAATGCCATTCCATGTTTCTGAGATTATAAATCACCGATCTTCTGATTTTCTCAATTTACACTTGACACAGCCTCTAGTATTCCGAGTGATAGAAAGGCAGTCAGGATTCCTTGGTGAGCTCTATCATTTTGCTGGACTAAGCGGGCAGGCTGTGGCTAAGTGACAGCACATCTGGGAGACTTGACACCAAATCAGGCCTTTAATGGTCCTTGGAGTAGTTCCCTCATAAATGCTGGAGATGGATCACAAATGTGAATTGTTGGGGATGCTGCAACAAACTGTTAAAGCAATGACAAACAGGCTTGGAGGAAGGAAGCTGACTCCAGCAGTATTCTATTTGCTCTGATTACTGTTATTTTTAAAGCACTTTTAATTAGAAGCATGCGTGAAAATGAAGCCAGATATAACTCAAAACCACAAAAAAACAACTCAAAAACTCCATAAAACCTCCAAACGCAATCTGTGGTTCTGCTCCTCCGTCCTGGTTAGCAGAGGCAGTGTAAGGCCCAGTTCTCCCTTGTGTAACTCCATTTGTTCTAAGCCTTCAGCACAATGTGGAAGTCTGAGCTGATTGGAATAGAAGCCTGATTTAGCCCGAGCATTGCTTGCAGCCAGGATTCCCCTGCCTGTGCATCTTCAGGTGCTGTTTTTCTTTCTCTCCCGAGGTGGCTGGCAGCGTTCGTATTTTCTGGCAGCATTCAGCCATGGCACTAATGATATCCTGTCTACACCAGGGACGTCCTAAGGGTAGCACAAAGGCCAAGAGCAGCCTGTGGTGCCATATATCACAACTCATGGTTACACTCCAGCACTCTGTGTGTGTGTATGAGATTAGTAGTGCTGCTGATAGAGACTAATAATTCTTATAGGTGAGAGCCTTGGGTTTACTATTGCTCTCTTGGGCATTGTTTTATACTTTCACTGCTGTTATAGAATTGACTGCGTAAATACAAACAAATAGAAAACATGATTTGGTCTTATTTTTGATTGTGTGTGTTTATACATGCAAATTTGTGTTGCTGTTGGCTCAGGCTGTAGGTCTCCAAGGAGGTTTTCACTGTGATCCCTTTGTGCTGCAAATTTGAGATACCTGATTTTGCATTTGTCTGGAGTAAGGAGCAATGTCCAGAAACCAAATTATTGGTCTCAAAGCAGTATAGATGCAGGTTTAGGGGAACTCCATGGAAGGTACTAACTCATGGAGGAACTACAGGTGAAAAGAACTGCTAGAATTGATGTTTCCTTCTTGTGGTGCTACAATGTTGTTTCAGACAAAAAAAAACTGGTTGAAGACTCAAGCTAATAAATCATTGGTCTGAAGAGTAGCAATGGAAAAGACTTGGTAAATTATTCAGTACATTTTCCTGATAAAGTAGTGTTTGTTTCTAAAACACTTTCATTTCTACTCTCCAGTCCAGACTAATTTTGATGTCCACTACACCCTAATGGTATTTCTTTGCAGCCTGACACAGTCTCTGCAGGAAAAGAAAAGTACTTTTGTGGTCAAGGCACAAGACTGGGGCTCAAAAGATTTAATTATTATTTCCTGACTCTGCATTAGGCTTTGTGACTGGGCTCAGAAGCCTGCTTCTGAACAGGAAACATGAGGTTCCCTTGCCACTTTCTCAACTGGATTTCAAATGTGTATAGTCAGAACCTGTCTCTTTCTTTTAGGTTTAGTTTTGTTTTGTTTTTTTTTTTTTCCTATTTCTGTTTCATTTAGAAATAAACTGTGTTAACAAAAGATCTTATTTTGCAGAAAAATTTAATACTGAGAGGCATCTTCAAGCAGAAATTATTTTATTATAATCAGTCCTCACTGGTGGCAATTCTCCGCTCACAAAGTGGACAACTTTAGTTTCCTAAAAATATTAAGGAAAATAATTTTCTGTACTTTCAGCTCAGATCTTGCAAATGGTTCTACATTTTAAAATTTAAAGCCCAGTATCGCTAGCCTAATTAAGTTGACACTGACCACCGTGAACTTGATTCTGCAGGCTGCAAAGACTTTTTGTATGGCAGGAATTCTGCTTTCACAGTTCCAGATTTTCGTCCTGAGCTGCTTATTTCTTCTTCTGCACACTTATTTTTGAATGTTACTCTGTGCTAAGAAACAACCAAGTTTTATGATCAGATTGTACAGTAAAGCCCATCTCCAACTTTATGGGAGTGTAGGTTTAAGGGAATATTTGCATGGGAGTAATTTCTTGAACTAAAGTAGAAAGGGTGGTTGGATGTGAAAAGGACCTCTTCTTCTAAAGAATGAACCTGAAGAAAGGCATATGTGCTCAGGTTGAATTGCTTAAATTTGTACATGTGGAGGTCTGTTTATTGCTGAAGCTTAAAATTGCCAGATTGTTTGACACTGCTATTATCTTTCAGCTTGAACCATGGAAACGTATATACAATAGTATACTGTACTGTAGAATAGAGTAGTTAGTGCTGAACCAACAATATACTTTACTGATGTTTTCAAATGAGTTTATACATCTACTGTCTATAGCTTTAGAAGAGAGATTCATTATTTTAAAAGGAAGAAAGAGAACAATTTCTCAAGACATCTACAAATCAACTATTTGTTTTATGGGGCTGGGTAGTAATGGATAAGTTGTGCCTCTGAGAAACCCATTAATAACTCTTTGGCACAGAAAATCTGGGAATAAGAAAAGATAAAATTTCTCTACTGTCCTGAAAAGTGTTTTTTTTATTAACTTTCCATCTGGTAAGCTCATAAATGAGCAGAATTAGTGAAGTTGTCTCAAAACAGTAGATGTATTTGATATCTACCAGTTTTGATACAGAAAAATTAACATGAGACATGTTGTTTGCAATGTTTTCTTTAAAGTACTAAATAAAGGGGAACAACTTTATATGTCCAGATATCCAGATTCCTCCCAGGAAAGAGGACATGGGCCACTTTTAAAACAGAAGCTGCTTTTAGTTATGTGGGATCAGTACTCCTGGGAAATCATTCCATAGTTCTCAAGATACTTTGCCATGAAATGCAGTAGGTGAAAACCTTGCAGGCAAATACTGATATGGCCAGTCAGTTCTTGGCAGATGCAGTTCAAATGCTGTATCCAAAAAAAATACAACACAAATGTTGTGCTGACAGGAATACAGAAATGTACAGAATAGTAACCGCAATAAAATACATTCACATTTATAACCTGAGACATAATCTGATAGACTGTGAAAGAGCAAATGCTTTTGAGAGTTATTGAAGGAAAACATTATTAGCTTAAATTTCCACACACACCACCCAGCCCCCCTCCTTGAATTCAGTACCATTAGGCCAACACTGGGAATTTGTATAAATCACATTTTCAAATTTGATATAGAATATAAGCTTTCATTGAGAGATCTGATATGTTCATTGCCTTCAGTTCGTATTGTCAACACTTGCGAGTGTGGGTTGGCGCTGGCACTGCCTGCTGTCAACAGCCCTGCTCCATTCCCTCCTGCAGTTTTCTCTCTTCAGTCTGGGATGTCAGAAACACTTTATTGATTGTGCATCGGGAAACTTAATCTGGTTAAATGGATACTGTCCTATCACAGAACAAACAGTATTTGAAGGTGAGACTAGCTAAGATGATGCTAGGAGAGAAAGATGTAGAAAGCACGGAAGCAAAAACTGGTCATTCAAATAGGATCAGGTTTCTGTTAACTTTAATGGGAACATCAGAGAAAAACTACCTAGGAAAATGGTGGATTGTCCATTTTTTCATGTTTTCAAATGAGACAAGATGCCTTTTAGAAGCTGTGTGGCGATGCACCATTTCCTAACTTCGATAATTGGGTAAGAAGGGGAAATCTAGTGGACTGTACTATACAGGAAGTGAGATGAAGTGCTGGGCTTCCATGGCCTTTTAGTGTGCATTCTTTAAAATAAAGCCATTGTCCATCTTGGCAATGGTCTTTCTGGTGGAATCTCCTTTTGTGAAGAACAGCTACCACAAAATTGCAAGAAATAAAACATAAAAATGGATGCATAAGAGGTGTTTCTACCAATTCCTTCCTGTGAACCTTTAAAATGCATGAAACACCTGTGAGTTTATACAAATAGAAGCTGAAGGAAATGACCAAACCACACGAAGTCAGGTAGTGTATATGACTATTAAAATGTATCCAGATAGGATCTAATCTAGTGCCTTTTGTAGCCAACAGGAATCCTATAGCTGGTTCTTGGACACGAAGGTTCACCAAATGTAGTCTATTTTGTAAAGAGCCCTCAGGCTTTTTTAGCGTTTTAAAAATCACTCTGTCGACACAGTAACCATAGGCTTTTGCATGGTGTCTTTCCTGAAAACTGAACCAGAAACTTAATCCCTTTCAGTTGCCTACCTGAACAGAAAAGGCTTTGCAGTGTTGAGTGGTGTGCTCTGAGTATGCAGGCTTTCTGAAACTCCGCCTTCACACAGTGGGAGCAGGAAATTCCTGGATTTTTTGCAGGGGTTCCAATGAAGCCTCTATTTGCTCAACAGTCAACATCCTCTGTGTGCTGAAGTGTTGCTAGTCAGAATGTTGCTGGTTATTGTTGTCACCCTATCTTTTCTTATATTCTCTTCATTTATCCCTTGCTGAATGAAGAAAGAAAATATAACAATTAGAAGGGATCATAATACCTAAATTCTGGGAAATGCATGTCAGAATTACTAATTCCTTATTTTTGTGGGACAGTGAGTCTTTAAAGATTGTGTGACCTGGAGTGTACAAATCCCCTTTTTTTCCCCGCTCATGGTAGATTGGTCGAATCTGAAGGTTCCATCTAACTTCTCCGTAATGCTTTATTCTGAATTATAAACTGCAAGTTTAATGTTTCTAAATTGCAGATTTCTCATATTTTCATCTATATTTACATAAGAATTTGAGCCAGTATTTATATTTTTGGTTTGTTCTTGGTGGCTGTTGCAGGTAATGGCAAACATGTGCAGTGGCTACGTGGGAAGGATGGTGAGGTCTGGGTCTGGGTTATGGGAGAAGCCCCAGGTGACAAGCCGTATGAACAGATATCAGAGGAGCTAATAGCAGAGCGAGCCAGGCAACAAGCACAGAAGGAGGCAGAAGAACTATGGTGAGGATTTAAGAATCTGAATTCAGGGTCCACTTGGCATAATGGGAGACATGGCCTTGTAGAAAGGCGGCAGGTAATGGTGGGTAAAACTGGTAAGTGAACATATGCTTTCACATGTTTTGGCAATTTTTCAGCACGTGAAAAATGTAATTTTACTTTTATTGAATACTGAAAAACCAAAACCCTCTTTCACAAAAAAAGTGAAGCAAACATTCTTCTTTTGGGGAATTTTGCTAAACCATTGACCAGTTTGTAAATAAGTAAAAATGAAACAATCTGGTTTTAAGATGATTAAGTTAGAAATATTTGTTGTATCACATATCTAGGCCCACAATGGGTATTTGGTACAAAAAATCCTTTTTGAAATTGTTTTTATTTGTACGTTGCTTGTATTAATTCTTATCCCAGCAGTCCAGAAACTGATTACACAAAGTGCTATACTGGTGTTTCCAGCAGGGCCTCTTCCAGCTTTGGGAGAGATTCAAAACTGGTTTGATGCTTGATATTTTAGTGGGCCACCTGCCTCCTGCACTTCCTTTTGTAGTACAGCACTGAAAAGTGACAGTTTAAATATCAGATAATTCTATATTATTCCATTTCATATGACATTCTTCTTGCTTATAGTGATTGCATATTTAAGCAGGGATTAAAAGCTTCAACCAGTGCTCTGTGTACCTTTACTCTGTCAGCAATAATAAAGAATCTAGTGTAAGAATTTGGCAGACATTTGCATTGATATTTGAGAGACAATAAATTCCCAATCATGCTTTACTAGACTGACAGAAAAATCTATTTTTTCAGTCAGGGAAGTAAAAATATATGGTATGACTCAACGACATCGAGGAAGTACTTCTTTAATTTAGAAGGTGCTATTTTAATTAGTGATTTATCAAAAATTGAAAATGTCTGCCTTCTGGATAATTTCCTCAAATCTGATTTGTGGTATGTCTCTTGTTAAATACATTTTAATTCTTTCCTTGTATATTTCCATTAAGTCTTATGCTAATTATTTGTTGCAACCAGTGAGCAAGTGTGGATCCTCAATTTAAAAAATATTTTAAAACACTGACTATTTTTTATTTTCAAAATCTTTTCTGAAGGAGACAAAAGGAGGCTGAAATTACAAAGAAATTCCGGGATGCTATGGCTCAAGAAAAAGCCAGAATAGTGGCAGAAAAATGGAAAATAGAAATAGAAGATCGGAAAGCTGCCAAAGTGGAGGAGGAAAAAATTCAGGAAGAACTGAAGGTTTGCATAGAGTAATTTAGCTTTTTTAATAGTGTTTTTATATAGATTCCAAGTTCTTGTCACCTTCAGTGCATGTTTATTAATAAGCTTTAAAACCCAGAGTGGTAATTTTTCATCCTGGAATATACAAATAGCTACATGGTGTTCACTGGAACAGCTGGGTGAGTGATGCAAAAAAATTACATATCTCATTCAAAAGTGTCAGGACAATCAAACTGGTTATTCAGCTCACACATTAACAGAATTGTTCAGTCAGCTGTGCTGAGAGAATCATACTGGGGGAAAAAATCTACAGTTGTGAAATGTCTAATTTTAAGTTAGTTTGCTTAAACATATTTTGTGTATTTTGGATGAGTTTTTCACATATATAACTTGAAAATTCTATCACTATTTTTTTTTAAGAGAATGAGGGGTAGAACCTTATCCTACTCAGCATATGGGAAAACTCCAGTTGGCTTCGCTGGGAGAAGTTAATTTGCCTGATTTTTATTGAATTTTCTATGGGCTCTCAGTTATAGTATATTAATATTTGTTAGAAATAATATGTTTTTTTTCATGTTCTGTTGTTGAAAATAACAATTTGAAAACTAAACAGGAAAAAAAGGCCTCTGTCTACCCTTTCCATATTACTTTATGGAGATAAAAGCTTGTTTAAAAATGAGAAAATAAAATACAGTTGGTTTACTGTGCAGAGAAATTATCACAGTCTTCTGAGTCTGGGATGTGCTCTTTGGGTCTGCAGAAGATTGGTGAGGCTGGGTTTCCATGGAGAAAGCCTGTAGCAAAATACAACTCCTAGGAGATCTGCATCCAGTAACTTCCATCTATCCACCTTTCCCCTGCTGACAGCTTGCTGTGTCATTTTTCCCTTCCTGGGATGGTGATTAAAGGTGTGGAAAGTGCACATAGACTCCCCTCTCGTTCCTCTGTGATGGGAGGAATGCTGAAAAACTCAGTGTTAAATTTATGCGGTTTGATTACAAACTAGAGTCAGCAAGTCATTCTACAAAGTGTGGGCCTGGGATGTGAGGGTGGTTATGTAGCACAAAGCAAAGGCGGTTCCTGTAGCCTCCTCTGCACAAAGTTGCTGGTTTACCTTTGCACAATTAATTTGAATTCATAGGAAAGAACAGGGCCTTTGAAATTTGGTGTCAATGAGTAATGAAACTATACCTTTCAAGTGCTTTATTAATGTATGAATAATGAGCAGAGCAACTATTTAAATGCTCTTTCCTCTGCTTTCTGGAAAGCAAAGTCTTGTTGAACAAAGAAAGACCGATACACTGTTCACTTGCACCGCTGTGGTTGATTTACAGTGCACTTGAAGGGGTAAATGTCCACAAGCTTACTGCTACTATTCTGTTTCAAAGACACTTTTTCAAAAAGCAGAGTGAGCAACTTGTGAGAATTTTAGTGTCCAGCAGTCATAATTTGCTATTAAGAAAAACTAGTCTTTCAGTTGTTGATACAATTTAAAAGGAATGTCACCAAATTCTTCTCATTTCCATGCTGATGGAAAGGTAATGTCACAGTGATCTGTCTTCTCACTGTTTTTCGGGAAGCGAGCAGGTATCCTCCATCCAGCTGTGTGCCTGGTCAGAGTAAGAGCTGCAATGCTGTAAGTGTGATGAGAATTTGGTTCAGTTTCTACTTTGAACTTCGAATGTTAACTTCTGGCCAGGATTTCTGTACCCCTGTTCATAAAGTAGCTAACATCTATGTTTTATCAAAGAAACAGAAACCTTTTTTTCCCCTATGGTTTCCTTTAAGTCAAACGTTTGAAGATAATATTTGCAAAAATTTAGGTAAATGGACCAAAATTTTTAAGACAAGACCCAGCAGAAATGAACTCCTTCACTTCAAAAATGAGTTTGGAAACAAGATATTACGCAGTGGTAATTTTTTAAATGCCCCTTTATTAAGTGTGCTCCTGGAATTTGCTGTATTAATACGACAATGTGGTCTAATTATACTTCCAGACCTGGGTCTTCATTAGATCTGTAATTTGAGATCTGATAGGAGGGACTTGGACTAACATAGGGTTCTACCAGCAGAGATCCAAATGTGGGATTGATCCCAGATACTATAATACCACACCTTTGCTACTGAAAAAAAGCAGCTTATCTATTACTTGGTCTTTAAAGAGCACATCTTGTGCGTAGTGCTGTAGAACTACTTAAAAGCAGTAAAGGCATTTCAAAGACAAGTGAATCTCACAGGCTGATATGGGGGAGTTGTTAACTTCTCTGTCCACTGGCTTATTTAAGCTCACTTGACTTTCCTTTTCCTTCCCATTTTACTCTTTTTATAACTACTCTTGTGCAATGGAAGAAGTACCTGAAATATTTACAAGATGAATGAGCAGAAAGGTACCTAGACAGGAAAATGGGAAAGTTATGTTTCTGGCATCTACCTCCAACTGCAAAAAGTGAATAGAACTAAGGTGTTGGGAAAAAGATGAATTACTGAATCTACTCATGTATGACTGCAATCATTGAAATCACGAAGAAATGTACCCTTCATGAATGATTCAGGGTGTGGAATGAGATGCAGATCAGTTAGCAAGCCCACTTTAACAGGTTTAAAATATTTAATGCATTGGTAATCATCCTCTGTGATGTTGACCAGACTGTGTTTAAAGAAGTCTCCAAACTGGGGTATGAAAAGTTCAGTCTCTGCTAACGCTTCATCCTCTTGAAGCATTTTGACTTGGGAGATTGAAACTCTGTCCTTTCTGCTGATGTGTTTAATTTCTAACCACATTGTATCACAAACACTCCTTTTTAAAACGCTTTTATTCCTCTTGACCTATCATGGGACTTTAGGGCTGTCTGCACTAGATAAATGATATCTCACATATCAAAGTGAGTGATGATCCCTGTTTCCTTTTCCAACACCATTAGAAAAGTATTGCTTTCCTTGGTGTTTCTTAAGCAGAAATGCCTTTAATTTATGGTGCTAGAATATAAATGTTGACTGCTCTATTTTTGCAGTTTAAGGACAGCTATTCTTTTTTGCACCTATTGCAAAGGACAAATAAGAGAGCCAATTACTATCATTAATCTTTTTGCTAATTCACAAAGGCTGTGAGATCATAGGCATAAATTCCTACTGTTATCAGTTGCTGTCATTAAGAGTCTTGAACAATGTGCAGAGCTAGGGCAAATTAAAGGTATGTAAGCCAGCCAGGGGCGGGTGGTATCCTTCAGCTACATTTAGAAATAACAGAGATACTCTTTCAGTTCTCTCTTCATGTGGTCTACATAAAGCAAGAGAACATTAATTGTAAACTACTATCTGTATGACAACATCAGATATCTGCCAAATTTAATAATATAAGCACAGTTGACAGTGAAGCTAGAGTGCTTCTTAAAAATTCCTTGAGAAATTAAATTTGTGCAAACCAAAAGCTGCATATAAACTTTTATGGGCATTGTTTTTCTTCATGCATCAAAAAATATTTAATAGGAGTTTTAGTGAGAGTGGCACTTAAGGGGAAATAATCCTTATTCTCTTGATAGACGACATGAGAGTAACAGTGCATTATAATTTCCCTCCACATTTTTTTTTGGATGAAAGTTTATGACCTTTAGTTCCAGTTGGGATTGTGGTGAGTGAATTTTTTTAAGGTGTGGATCCAAGGGTTTCTATGTCCTGGCCATTTCCTTTATCATCAAAGGTGACAGGTTCAGAATCAACCTTCAGAGAACAGAATAATTAGTGCTTCAGTTCAGGAAATCTCTAATAAGGACATCTTATGCTTAACAGAAAGAACACACTTCAGTCCTATTGACTTGAATGGGCTTTCAACATGTCTGAGTGCTCTACTGTGCCCAGAAGTGCTGTGGACCTGATTCTTCAGACAACTGCTGCAAGGTGTAGAGTTTAGGAATACAGTAAAATATCACCATCACCACTTAGAGTACTGTGGGCTTCTTACCATATAGCAGTGAGCACTTTGTCCTGGTCTGAAAAACTCTTGCAGCTAAGTAAACATCAAGCACTTGAGTGGGCCTGTTATCTTTAAGTGCAAATAAACTGTAAGTTCAGCTCTGTGCTTTGCTGTGCCAAGAAAACACTGGACTCTTTCCCAAGGACAGCGTGTTTAGAATCCAGGAATATGACAACAGCTCCTTGCTGGGGTTTCGCACCCCGTTCATTCTGAAAATGCCTCAGTTGTGTATATTCAACTGCGATTACAATAATTCAGTAATGCTTCATTTTGTTTTCTTTTGTGTGGCAGTAGTTCAGAAATTCTGGATTACTATGCAGTTGTCTATTGAACAATGTTGGCAGTGAGGCAGCTGGTTTTTCTGTCCTACTTGTGAGGAACTGTGGTGTTATTTTTAAAGAAAAGTATTTTCCCCAGTGATATCAGTAATGATTGTGCTGCTGAAGTCACTGTCTTTATTCTGGATCGCTGGTAAAAACTAGCAAAGCTCTGATATTTTCCAAGGGTAAATGGGAAAATCTGAGCCACTAATGAGGATAGTTTGCATATCAGGAACTCAAGCTGTGAAGAGTCCCTAAGATCCAGAGACAAACTTTTAGTAGATTATCACTGGGTCTATGGCAGGTTACCCAAGCAGAGTCTGCTCTAGCATGTGCAATAGATCTTGGATCTCTCCCAATAAGAAATAGTCCTTAACTTTGTTTTCGATCTCATCTGAAAGAGGGTCTTTGTGAACCGGAGCATGTTGTTACGTCCCTGTATGAGCTGTGTGTACATAGCATGTCCTGGGGCATAGCCATGATGGAAACATAACTCCTTCTGCATAAAGCATGACTGCATTTCATACATTTGTCTCTGTGCAAATACATACACAGTGAAGTGATGCAAACCCTGAATTCCTTTTGAGATACTGGTAGTAGAGGAGAAAATAATGTCTCTGCAAACACTTACTTTTCTGATGCAAGTGAGAGAATTTTGTCAGAAAAAGGTTGGGAAGGAGTTGGACATATTTCTGCTGATGCTCGCAGCTCTGTTGGAAACTGCCAGGTGGGTTTGCAGAGAACTCTGACCTCTGATTTCCACCTGCCGTGCCTGCCCTGCTGAGGGCAGGCTGTCCCACAGCTGGGAACCCCGGGATGTCCAGATTCCCTTCTTCAGAGCAGGTTGTCCCAAGGGCTCAGATCTGAAGATGAGCTGTGCTCTCAGCCCTGTGGCAGGCAGCCTGGACGTCTGCGCTGGCTCAGGGGTGACTGCTGAGGGATCTCAGGAGATTCACAGCAGCTGTAATGCAGCGGACGAGCTGCAGCTCTCAGGACTGCCAAAGATGCTTCCTGCCAGCCTGAAACATCGAGGGAACCCCAGGCATCCTTTGCTTCCGAGAGGACTGTTGTAACAAGTCATGGATGGCAGGAGCAGGATGGCAGTCATTCAGCTGCCCTGCATCCCGTAAAGCTCCCCAGAGAGACCCCAGGAGCCATGGCAGACAGAAGCTCAGTTTTCCATTGTAGAAAAATCAATTGCTGTATTTTGTCTTTTCCTTGGTGCATTTTTTTAAATCTTTCTGCAGCAAAAACTAAATGCTGACCTAATCTCCTCTCATCTGCATTGGACTGAAACATTAGAAGCTAACTGTGGCTAATATTAAATATTACTTGGAGCTGACTGTAGTAAAGCTATCATACATTGTGAGGCACCCATTTACAGTAACAAGGAACAAGTTTGTGGTAAATGTTCAGCTGCCAGAGGCTAGATGAGATCATTTAGCATGTTCAAATTCTGCAGTGGAGTTAAAGCTAGATTACTGCTACCTATTGAGTTGCCAGTGTGATTTGTTTGCAGCAGGTTGGTGTTTCTTGACAATTTCCAACTATGTACTGAACTGTCACCTTCCTAATTATTCTGGAAGAGCTGAAAGGGTCATGGCACACAGTACAACCTCTCTCAACTGTCAGGCAGAAGGTGATGTTTGTAGGTTATTACAGATCTTCACTCTCAAATCTGATCTGCAGGATTGGGTTCACAGAGAGAAGCAGATAAACTAGTTGCTGTATTCTTCCAGTGGAATAAATGTGAAAAGTTCAATTGTTGTTCATTTTAAATACAGTCATACACTTTTCACTTCTACTTGACAAAAGGGTGACTTTTCTTTCCTGAGTCATACTAACAATGGTGATTTCTCCTCACACACACCTTTAAGGAGTTTGTACAATATACTTGCACATGCATCCGTGTGCTAATTTGAATAAATAAATTTTTTTTTTCTTTTAAAAAGGAAAATTAAATGAAAAAATTTTGTGAATTCAGAATCAAGTGCCAGTGTTAACGTTTGTGTCTCTTCTTTGACTCAATCTCCTTCTCACTAAGAAAAAAAAAAGGTAGAAATTTCTTAGTAGGCATTACTGCTTTCCATTAAGAATTCAAACTCTATCTGAATTCTAGTTTTTGGTTTTCTTGTGGGTTTTTTTTAGACACCCATCTTTTTTTTACTACAAATGCTTCAACAATAGCTACATTAAAAAAAAAAAAAATCACAACAAGCTTGTGACAAAACTCTTGTGTGATTCAGAGAAACTGCTGTGAGATTGATTCCACACCCCTCTTCCTCTCTCCCCCCCCCCCCATATTAAGTTTACCTTGTGGTTTGAGATGTTGAATAGAAAACATTTTGATAACTGAGGATTACCCCTGTGCCTGTCCATCTTCCTGAAAAGATAGATTAGATGTATTGGATTTTTTTAGGTAGTGAAACTAAGTGAATAAATATTCTCATAATAATAAAGAATAGCTGCATTTACTAGCAACTGAAATATGGAATCCCTAATTTCATGGATCAATTAAAAATTTTTTTTTTTTTTTGATTATTATTATTTTGAAGAAGCTGCTAGCCTTTGAAATAAATGCTTCCTAAAAACACTGGCTTTTCAAAAATAATGAACTCTTCACTCAACTAATCTTTTTAGGACTCAGTAGATAACAATGGGAGGATGATGTTAGAAATAATCAAGGATACTAGCATTTAAATTGACTGAAGAACAATACTAGAGTTTTCTTCCTCAAACATAAGAAGAGCAATCTAATGTATTTTTCATCATGTCTGTTATTGGAACTCTTATTCACTACACAGGTACATCACTATTAATATGCAATATTTCAGATCTGTCAATTTGTTGTGTTATCAAGAGGACAGATCCTCTGCTGGTGTAAACTGGTGGAGCTCAGTTGTGCCAAATGGAGAAATGTTGATTTATGTTACTTAGGAAAATGTAAAACTGGTTGAATTCTTTCAAAGGATGGAGATTTGCATTTGTTTGGGTTTTCCGCTCTGAAGATGGTGTTGCTTGTCACTGCTAAATTGCTTACTTTTCAGTATTTTTGTCATTCTTCCTTAAACATGCCATTGTGTGATCCATGACCAGAACAACCAAAAAGTCCTGATTTCTTCTGCTGCTTCTGGCTCTCTCTGAGCTTCTAGAGGTAGCAAACAGCAATATTGCTGTCTTCTGAAAAGAATTGGAGTTGTCTTCCTTTAATTCCAGATATCTGGTTAACAACAGATAACTTCTGCAGAGCTAGAGAGAACTGGGGTGGGGGGAGGAGAGGAAAAAAAAGCCTTTCCTTCCCCATGGTGGACACAAGGGCTTTATTCTGTTTTCCAGACAGACATTCCAGACACCTGTTTCACCACTGGAAAACAAGTATGAGTTTTTCTTAGGGGCATTAAACAACATTGTTTGGATATTCATATTATTATATTTGGGTTGCTTTTGGTATTTGTGTCCTGGCAGGTGTTAAGATAGGACAGACGACCTTCAAATGAGAACTTCCTCAGAAATACCTAAGAGGTAGGAAACTTCTATTATGCCTGTTGTTATGGGTGAGAAACCCAAAGTTAGAAGAGACAGTGATACTTTCCAAGGTAACGTAGCTACTCTGTGGGAGGAGGCAGCTGAAGTAGTGCCCTAATTTTTGGCACTTTCTTTCTCTTTAGTCACCTCTGTTTTACTTAATTTTGCCTAGAAAAGAGAAGAAGAGGAAAGACAAAAAGGTGAAGAACAAATAAGGCTGCAGGAAGAAATCCGGGCAAAAGAGTTGTATCTGAGCCTCAAGCAAGCTCAGCAGCATAGTCAACACAGTGACGATGACCAGGAGTGGGAAGAACAGTGTGAGTAAAATTACCTTCACAGGATTAATGCACTTCTAAAAGCAAATAAAGGGAGACTTATAGAATGGAGAAAAGTGTTGTAGAAAATCTCTTCTATCTAGAGCAATGCAAAACAATGTACTATTTTGCAGAAAATTACCAGCTTGACCTTACAAACAGAAGTTACTGTGACTTTACCAATTTCACATTTCTTTCTGAATAAGAATCCATGTCAATGTCTTCTAGACAATTTTTCATGTACAGTGACTGAGATCATTAACTTTTGTCTAATGTAATTAATTAACAGTTTTGGCTTAGTAATAATAATTCTGGACAGTTATTTTGACAGCTTGTCCTCAGCTATCTCTGAAGAGGTAAAATCTGTCTTCATATGTATTTTAATTACTTCCATATGGTGATGGGGTCAAGCTATGATATCAGCACTGAAACTCACTTAATTTCAAAAGATTACAGTAAATATTACTCAGATGGTTGCCCTGACAAAAATCCTTATGATGATGATCTCATTCTATTAAGATGCTTTTTAGCCACCCTGAAATTCTTTATTAATATCATCAATGTGATTAATTTAAAAATACATCAGTGATTTTTAAATGTCTATAAGGAACAGAACAAATATATATATATAAGTATACATTACATACTGTAGGTAGGTAAAGGTCCACATGATGAGTAAATAATAGGCTATTGTGAACAAGATGTATGTCCACTCCACCTGGAGTCTATAGTATAGTTGGCTTTAGAAGTAGGAAATTTGTTTGCAATAAGAATTGTGCATTTTTGTTGGGGGAAGAATATTTTTTATTTCCCACGTGTATATTAATTTGATTTCTCTGCAGAAAAAGGGAATGTAATGATTGGAAAGTTTTAGTTCATGTGGAGTTATTGTATTAATTATATATAACACAAAGGTTAATCAACTAATACTAAAAGTGGAGTTTTAGGGCACTGATAGTATGTGTTGCATGAAGTACCTCATGAAGTAGGAAAAAATATTGCTGCAGTGTTACTTATTTCCTGACAGAAGTAAAAGAAATGTTTCAAAATACGTAATAAGTTTATTTTATGGTTTTAGTCATCCATTCAGGAGTTCCTGGAGACTAATTACTGAAGTCCTATTACCTGGATTTGATGTGATAGTGAATCATTCTGTACAACATGAATTAAATCCATATAAGATACACTGGTGCCACTTTACAAGCTCATAGCAGGCTACGCTCATTTTTGATCAATAAAACCTCTGTATATTACACTGTCAATAAAGAGAAGGTAATTATTTCATGGGGAATTATCTAAATCCAGGTGTACATGTTTATTTGGAAATGAAAACTGTAGCTTTCTGGATTTTGAGTGTTTAAGAGCAAAATGAGTTGTAGAAAAAATAGCCCTTTAGTTTTGTAGGAAATGAGGCATCAATTACCATCAGCTTGCAACCATGTTATTAAAAAAATAAAAATCCAGCCTATATTTACACTGAAATTGGCAATAAAACAAAATACTATAAACATTACTAATACCAGCTATTATTTTCTTACTACTGAATTAAAGAGGTAACTGAGGTTTTAAATTGTTATCTCAGTTTTCTCAAGGAATGCTGGTTGTACAGGGGCAGATACCAGAAATGCAATAGAGGAATTACAGGAGAAGGCAGAGAGGAGAGGAAAGGAATAAGCTAGGAAAGGTTTTGACCATGATTTCTGTAAAGGCATTCTTGGTCTGTCAAAACACTTTCAACTGCATCATATGCTGATGGCTATAATCTACCACCAGTATTTTTTCTTGTGTAGCTTTTGGAGTATTCTGTATGCTCTGAAGGAATTCTGTCACCCTCAGTCTGTGTGCCTCAATACCTGTAGACCTGTCAGCTTGTGGTCAAAAGGGTGATGGACTGCAGCTCAGGTAATTGCAAGCTAACTATCCTGGTCACCCATAACAGTGCTGCTGTGGCAAAACAAAAGCTCAGCACCTTCTAGCTGGCGGCACCACAGTTGGCTTTTGCAACCCGTGATAAATTCTGTGCTGCCAGAGTTTATGCTGTTATCAGTAATTGATTTAGCATTAAACTAACTGCAGACTAATGACTAGAGTGTATCACATCCTTGTTTATCCTCTTATGCTTATCTCAGTGTCTCAATTTATCCCAGTTGGTTTGAGGGCTTAGAACTGTGTTCCATTAGCAAATGGGTGTGACAACTTAAGATATGAAGATGCAGTGTTTAGTGCCTTATCTGAAACCAGTTCCTGGCTGGTTTAGACTATGCCATCAGACTTTGCACTGAGCTTCTTGAGGAATGTAACATCTTCTGTTTCCTTAACTTTGCTGCAGAAGCAGACAGGCAATAACAAATATTTGGAAGTGGGAACATCTGAAATTGGTAAGGAATGAAGTAGTGCTTCAGGTTCATGAGATTTTTAATTTTTGATTTAAATTCTAGATTTTTCTTTTTCCCCCTTTTTATGGTCAAGCTTTCATTTTGTCTTGAAATATTCTTTTGGGACACCGAGAGGAGATTTAGCCAACTTAGGCAAAGCTATCCACTTGTCATATTTTCTAAGCAATAAATAAATGCATGAATGCATAAGAGAATTACAAGCAGATGTAATATTAACATCTTTTGTCTCTACACACCTGCAATGGAAACCATATTGCCCATTAGGAACAAGGCCAGGCTCCTTTGTGTCTTACCTCCTTGAAGTCAGCCCTTCATATTCAACAGTGCTGGGGGGTCAGTACTGAAGAGGAACAGCAGTGCTAGAGCAGCTATTGTGGAGAGCAAATGTAGCAATGATATTGATGACACTACTAATTTATTTAGTAGATGGAATTTAGAATGTGATGAGGATTCATCTCTCCTCATCACATTATCCCTCAGCTGTTTATTGCCAAGGCAGTAAGCAAAGTGTTGCTAATAATAGTTTCTGTTGTTCAGTTCAGTTTGCTTCTGCTGTTTGCCTGATTGTGCCAAATAACAATAAAAGCCCATAGAACCACCATGTTAATTGACATAGATAATTTTGGTGCTTTTTAATATACTAAATGACAAATGTAGAATAACTTGAGAAATCAGTTCTAAAAGGAAACAAATGATGTTGTAAGAGCAATTATACACTTTGATTTCATATAATGGGTATATATTGGGGTATTTTAGAGGACACTTGTGAGTTAGTATGTGGAGCAAGTTATATTGGTTGGCAAATGAGAAGATGAGTAATGGAAAAGACTAATTCAAAGAGTCCGCTGTTCAGAGCTCTTATTCTTTGAAACTGAGAAGTGAAAACTAAGGCTACGCTTGGATAGAGGAGTGTATATATTCTGATTAGTTTTGGACCTTTCTATGGTCTGTTCCAGTTTTTTAGGTTTCTAGACTATTCAGTAAACAATATCCTATATCCCAGCCCCAAAGTGTGACCACTCTCTGAAAGCAGAAAGATAAAAAGATAAAAGGAAAAACTGTAGCATAAATATTCATCTGACTGAATACTGCAAAAAGTGTTCTGTTAGTACACTTAGAAACCCCTGCAAACTGCATCAAGCAATGAAGTGCTCAACTACCATCTGACCAGCTGTACTCATCTTCAAAAAAAATTATTCCAGTAAAAATGCAAACAGAATTGAGTGACTTGATTTATTCTTATGCCATTCCCTAAGCACCCACTTTTGGTCTCTGTTGGGAGTAGGATACCAGGCTGACTCATTATAGCTTCTTTTATACTGGTGTATTTTTATGTTCTTCTACAAACTATGTCTATTAATTTATTTTTGTCTGAATTTTAAAGTAATTTATGTTCGTTTGGTACTTATCTTCTACAGAAATTCAAGTGAGTGAGTTTACTGGCAGGAACATTTGATAAAATGCTGAATTTTAAAGTGAGTAGTTCCCAGTTTAGCTATGCATTAACTAAGCAAGTGCTCACTGATCTTCAATAGGTTTTAGTGCGTTGTTGAATAGGGATGGAATTAGTCACATGCTTTCAAATAAGAAGATTACTGAACTGGAGCCATATTGCAGAGTATTTTGTGGGAAGTCATTTTCCAATTAGGAAATGGAAAAACACCATGTGATTTGTATATGCACTCAGAAAATGTGAAGATTTAACTTTATCTATTAAGTAGTCATTTTGAATCACGCATAAACAAGCTTCCAAGAATTATTAACAAGGGTAAAGCTGAAACAAGATAATCTTAAAATGAGGATGCATATTCATGGCACATGGCTTTTTTTTTTCTGCTTTCACATAGCTCTGACTAACTCACAGCTCTTCAAAAGCACAAAATAGATTATTGGAGAATTCCTAGTTTTTCACAAATGACATGATCACATTCAGCTGAAGCACATTATGAATTAATCCTCATCTGTGTCAAAAGATTTGTTATTAGAACTTTGCCAGGACTGCTAATAGGGAATTCCCAATCCTGAGTGAAAATATAAAAGGCAATCTTGTATTTTCACTCAAAATGCAACTTAGATTAGCATAGAAGAATAATAGATTCTTGTAAACTGTTCAAGGTAAACAAGGCAAACTCAAATTAAGACCTGTAAGATCAAAGCAGCTATTGCATACACGAGCTTTGTGGTTTCTTCTTTGTTGTTAGAGTATGTTTACACTGCAGGTCATGTAGGCGTGTCCAAGATGGTTTTAAACTTTATTTCTAATAATGATAGCTGTATAATCATTACAGCACAGACCTCATTCTGGATTATTAACCAGTTTTCCAGGAGGGTTTGGTAACTCGTTTGTGTCCTGCTCTACTGCAGCTACAATTATATCGGTACCTAATCTGTGTAACCAGCTCAGGCATTTCTACACAAGTTACAGTGCCATCAGGGCAGAGATGTGCTTAATTTTACCAGTTCCAAAGGAGGATGTACCTGTTGTTGGTATCGCCAACACCTGAAGAGAAAACTAATGGTGGAGATGGACTTACGGGAACTGGCTGAACTGTAGATTTCCTGTGAGCTTGACAAATTAATCAAATTCCTAATTTCCCATTCTTGTCAGTACTGACATTATTCATTAATATAAAAGGAAGATGGAGAAAATTTAAATTATTATTTGTATTAATTTTTGATGCTAGGTATATGGACCTATGGTGATGATTCAGAGATTTTAAGGATGGAAGACATCATTCAGATATACAGTCTCCCTACTGAAAATGTTGACTATTGAATTTAATGCTTTGTGCAGGGGTCATGCCAGGAGAACATTTACTGTAAAATGATAGCAAGTCAAGAAAAGTCACCTGTTCCTACTTAGGATACTACTAGAAGTCCTGACTACTTTTGCTTTCTTATTGTGAGAAAGGCTATGATGTGTCCTGAAATACAACAAATAATGAGGAATTTGTGGCCCCTCTGATAGTAGAATATTTGTGCTACACTTGATCGAGATATCAAAGTCTTATTTCTAGTGAGATGGTTCGGAGTCAAAGAGAGAAATATGAGTATTCATTAAATTCTATTGTAAGAAAAGCCTGCTACAGAAATATGTCCAGATGTACCTTCAGACTTTGAGTGACTCAAGATATATACATTTGTGGGAGGTATCGGTAAGGGAGGACAGTTCCTGTGACACACATCATCTTGTCCATCACAATGGAAAACTTTTTGTAGATTTGTGACCATAATAACTGGATGAATCTTTATCCACAATACTCTTTCCAGTCACCAAAACCAGTTATTGATGCCAGTGACTGATTATTTACCAGATACAAAGTGCCTTGACCAGTCAGAGAGTTTTAAAAGAAACTTGGCATAATGTAGCAACACAGATCCACAGTAGGAGCTGTACTAGACAATTTCTAAAGATAGAGGAGTGTGAGGAAAGACAGAGGGGTTTCTGGGAACAACTACAAGGAATGGGATAGGGAGAAAATCAGGACTAGAGTAATGGAAAAAAAGTGGATTAAGAGACCCTATGTATCCCTGTGGTCAATGATACAATACTTCAGATACATCAGTTGAGAAATTTCAGGAAAGCTTCTTCATAACATGAAAGAGTTGACTATGTATGTATGTATATAAAATCTGTATGCATGCATTTAGATATCTATGGCCTGTAGCCTTCGCTATCCTGACATATGTAGAGATGCATATACACATACATGAGTACACATAAATATGTAAACATACATATATATGTGGATGGATAGGGAAGGCTGTATGTCATGCATCCTTTCAAAAATTTTTTTGAATGTTAATATTTTACAGTTGCAAACTGTGCTACCCCTCTCCACTGTTTTGTGATAAGAAATATTAAATTTTGATACAGGTTGGGAAAATATGGTCCAGGTCACTGGATTCTGATGGTATAGATTTATTAGATACCAAAAATACAGTAGAAATGTCTGTTGAAAACAGTATCTATTGCTGAGGAAAGTGGGGCATGAAGATACTTTGCCTTTTTCATTACCAGGCAGCCAGTACATCAGTAGGAAAAAAATCCCAGAAAGCTCCAGGCAGTCTGCCCTCGATATTATACTGTGATTGTGACAAACAGTGACTGGTTTCTAAATGTCTTACCAAGCTGCATTGCACTCATCTTCCTTGCTGTGCCACATGTTGTTGCAAACACAAAGTCCACATTTAAAGCAACCATTGTTGAGTGGCTTTATAAAGGATAAATCACAGAAATTTTGTAACTAATATACTTGACCCCTTGAAGTAGTACATTTAGATGACATTATCTACCCTTAAAAATTACCTGTAAGACAAATAGTGAAACCTGTTATTTATATTTTCTGTGTTGTACAGTTATTTGTTACTGCGTTTGGATAAAACTACAGGGTATATAGTTAGATGAAACTGAAATCCTGCCAGTTGTATACATATGAAGCATCTATGAGTTGTTTATTATACTATCTTGATGAGCTTTTAGTCCTGTATATCTTTCTACCTATGATAATATTATATAACTCTAAACTTAAAGGTCTTTTCTCTTTCCCTCATTTGCCCAGAGGGTTTTATTTCATTTCATTTTGCTTTGAGTGCTTTTATTTCTTGGTTCCATTACAACTTTTCATAATATGGAGAAATACTTCTGCTTGCTTTAAATCAGGAGTGTAAACCGAAGGCATGCAAGCAACCTAATGAAATGCAGCTGTCTGGTATTATATCATGCATTCCTAGTTGCAGGTACGATCACAGTAGAGTAAGAAATAGTGTGTGCGCTTTATGAATTGGGGATGATCTAAGCCAAGATAGCCATGGCAGGATTGATAATTGCTACTGGAGGCAATTCCTTAATATTTGCTTCACTGCATGTTAAAGGTTTGTTTTGCACTGGAATAATTTGCCTGCCTGAAGTTATTTGTGTCTCAAAAAAATCATCAAAATGGGGCTTGAGGCACCAGAAAAGAGCTGATAGATGATGAATATTTGAAGTACAATTCTTGGTGCATTTAAGTTATACCATTTTGAAGACAGGATTGTTAGTATGTTAGTTTTAAAATGAAGAAGCTTTAGTGAAAGATGCCAGACCTGCAGTGGCCAGGGCAGCAGTCTCATTTCAGGTTATGGAAGTTTGTAACTCCCTGGTCAGTGCCATTGATAGGTGTGTATTAAATCTTCCGGTACAGAATCTGGTTCTTTATATGCAATTTCAGAGACTCAAGTGTGAGACAACCCCATCCATAGCATCAGCATGCCCTTTCCAATGGCTATCAATTTCTCCATTGTTACTGAAACCGTTTTCAGACTGCAGTTTTCAAGATGGAGGCTTCTGTGAGTTTAAGTACCATAACAAAGATAGCATCTGCTTTTCAGAAAGAAAGCAACATTAACAGCAAAAAGTGTGACTTAAATGTTGGGTTTTATAATTGTAAGTTTTGGGAGTAGCTCCTGCAGTTCTAGTTATGTGCATAGTCACAAAGAATTCTGTTAAACACAGACTTAATTTTAAGCGATAGTTAACAGTCTCTCTTGAAACATAAAACTTGGTGCACTGCCAGCGGAAAAGATGTCCTGAAGCAGAATTTCTCTTATTACAGTCAAAGCAAGTGTCGGATGTAACCGCAGTATGTAGAGGCTCACTTATTGCCAGGGATCGGTTCATTGATAGCGCAAGTCTGGCATGTTTCATCTAGTGGTGGGCCTGTATTTGAAGCATCAGGGAAGTGATCCGGTTAGCCATCTATTTGATAATGCGTTGTAATTGATACGGTGTTAAAATCAGGTCATATAAGGAATAAAGATAGTAAGTTGCTGTATAAGGAAAGGGGTAAGTGGCTGTATTTCTAAAGTCTCTCCTCCCCATCCTTCCCATTCACTCCACCCAGTGCGCCGCTCCAAAGCTGCAGATGAGGAAAGGAGCCACAAAGCACGCAGGGCCCGGGATGAATACCAACGACAATCCTTGCGTGCCATCCAGAAGGGAAGAGTGGCTGGCCTGAGTAACTTGTTCCAAGGGACAAGCCTCAATAACGATCAGGAGATAAAATTGAACAACAACAGTGCAAGTCCTTTGCTGTCTCTCTCTGCAGCATCCAGGTTGGTTTATACCTGAGTGATTTTGAAGTAGTTTTCTGTTTAATTGTTCTGTCTCCAATCCCCACCGTTTCAACAGTTGCTGGAAATTCTCAGTCTTGCTCTTTTGCTACAACCAGAAAAAGAATGTTTAAAGTAAAATGAAAACAGATTGAATACTTAATGTAAACTAAATGCCATTTATCTTTCAGACAGATTTCCTAGAGTTCACACAGAGAGAGATGGGTCCTTCGAAATTCAGTATCAGCTTAGTATGCAAGACTGTGATATGGAGAAGTCAAATGGACAAATTCTTAGACAAGTCTTAAGCCTCAAGCCTAAAACTGCCTGCTGCTTAACAGCTCTTTGAAACATTTTATAGAGAGCTGTCCTACTCCTAAGCTTCAGGGGTTTTAAGGTATTTTCAGGCAAAATCAAGTATCTCTGGTGTTTATTCATATGACTATTTAGGGAGTGCCATGAATTGCAGAAGAGGAAAAGGATCCAAACTGGCAGATGAATGCTAGAAAGTTGACCAATCACTCTACTCTTCCTGGTTATTTCTTAAACCATTAATTGTCGATTCATGTGCTGATAAAGGTAATATGAACACTGGTAGGATGGTAGCATTAAATGCTAAAAAAAAAAAAAAAAAAAAGTAAAAATCCCAAGAACCAATATCCAGGCTCAGAAAGGAAAGAGTCCCATTACATTGTTTTTCTTTACTAGTCAATGTAGCACTAGCGAGAATCTGTCCCTCATTGTTTGGAAATGTGTTCTGCTTTGACAAGTTCTTTGCTCTATGTGTTGACATACAGAAACTCTCTGGTAACAGCAGCTGAAACTCCCAGCTTGAGGAGGAATTCGCTCTCAGAGGCAGCAGGATCTTTAAAGTTACCATCAAATCAACTTGTTAAAGAAATTCTCTAATTATTTTCCAAACTACTTAAAGTCTTTTCCAAATTGAAGTAGTAAAAACACTAGTAAAGCTGTGTGACATGAATTTCTGAGCTTCTGAGGTGTGTTATTTACTATAGAATTTGATAGTGTTAGGTGTGACCCTATTCAAAAAGGGCCTGCAAAAAGTTGAAAATTATTCTGATCATTATCCAGGTCACGTTCAGTACTATTCTTCCGTTTCTAAGCTATGCCTATACTACAAAAAACAGGCAGTATTTATTTTTCTTATCTCTTAAGGCTCCTTTTTGTCTGTCCATGACTCGATTGCGAAGGTATCAAGACAAATAAAAGTTGCTTTAAATATGTGCTTTAATACTGACTATACATAAATGTGTATAATTCAGCTTCTCAAACCTGACACTGGTATGCTAAAGAAGGAGTAGATGTGTATCTAAAATTTTACTTTGCCAGTGACCTGGGAGGTCAAGAAGGAGATGCACAGTATGTTGTTATTTACCACTAGTGTGAGACAGATATTTTTGCCTTAAGGGAATGTGTGTGCAGTGTTATGTCTCTAAGTTTTTCAGCATGAAGCACAGTTCCTATAGTTTTTAGCCTTTTCTTTTAAAAGTCACATGAAAATAGTATTCTTTTATTTTTACTTGAGATCTCTCTTTCTTATAATTTCTATATAGCTTAGAAAGATACCATTTGATTTTTTTTTCCTACTGTCTGTCTTATTTTGCTGAGTGTTCTCTTCCAGATGAAACTCTTTGGCCCACCTGCTCACTTTTATCCTTTTGCCTACTATGTTTTGTTTTGGTTTGGTTTGGTTTTTTAACTTTTGTGGTTGTATTTCTTCTTGCTCCTACTGAAAAAGATCAACCACAGTAGCTGTATAGAAACTGACATAGTAATTTTGAGATTTGGCCCAGGGCTGAAAAAACTATGGATTTGACAATTTTTCCAAAACTAAACTGAATTATAGAGACATTAGTTAAGAAATTAGAATGGATTGTAGGGCCCTGTAATAGAAAAGGTTTCTTGTTTCTTTATAGAAAACATTCAAAAACAGAAACAAAAACCACGTGTAGTATGGGTTTTATAATGTGTGTCTATAACTGAATTCTCACTTTCTTCCCTCACTCATGGTTGTATCTTCAAATTTTGTGATGAATATCAGTCAGATCTACTCACACGTTTGTGTAATTTAACAATAGCTATTACATTCACTGCGGGCTTCATCACTTGATATCAACAGAATCGATCACTAGTTTTAGTAACAGTAAGACAAGCTGAAAGGAGGACTCGGTTGCATATCATCAAGCAGGCAGCATCTATCTTTTGACTTTTATTTCTTTCTAAAGATCACCTTGCTGTCATGAGTTGCCGAACCCTGATCGGTTTTGAGGGTTCTAGATTATCTCACAAATTAGTTTAATGCTGTTTTGTGCCTTCTGAGCTGACTTTTTAATTTTAGTAATAGTTCTCCATTACATTGTCTAGAAATGTACACCGTTAACTGGCAGCTCCATGGCAGATGGAGTAGGAAAGCTAGAAATAGGGAGCCAGCTACTGGACTGGGCACTGTAAAGCACGTCTCACCCAATGAAAGTGAAATTATAGTACAAGTAGACATACCCACATTATCCTTCATCCTATTTATCTGAAGAACAGTGATGAAGAATTGGTAATTTGTGACAACAGTTTAAGCACCCAGAAACCCATCGGATTTCAAACAATGCAGAAATCCATCTTAAAACCTCTCTTTTATTGCAGTTATCAGGGTAAATCAGATTGTATGTTTAACTGGAATGCAGTCATACTTTCACTTGATATAATGTACCTTAGTCCTTACTTGTGGTAGCTGGATGGGTTTTCCATATATTTTACCTGATTTGCTTCCTATTAACTAAAATAATCTAAAATGCATTGGAAGTAGTAGAAACAGTAAGGGAGGTTGGCAAGCAGACAATGCAAAGGGAACGTAAGAGTTTAAATAAAATGTTCCCTCTATCATTCCCGGTGGTTTGGATACACAGCCTATTATAGCTGATACTGATTCAGAATTTCTTGCCAGTAAAAAAGAGTATACTCTAAGCCAAAAAACAAGACTTGCTTATCAATGTGTACATTGGTATAAAAATGAGGTGGAAAAGGAAAGTTGACTGAAATGTATATTGAATCTTTTGTGGTAAACTGTTTTTCAATTTAAATTCTGTGCTTAAGAAAATGTTTAGTTCCATTGCAAATGTGAAATCAAAATATTCTGGTTCCATAAAAACTCAAAATAATTTTAACAAATTTTAAAAGGTTAAAATTGTTCAGTAAACTATACCGAACAGCAGGTTTACTCACCATTTTGTAGCTGTATGTGTTGTAATTATATAAAAAAGAGATTAATATTTATATTGTCCTTCATTTTCATACACTGCTAATTCTCTATATGACTCTTCTCTGTAATTGCTTGCCTTTTAATGCAGTAACATCTGGGAGCGTCCTTCTAGACCCTTTTCCCGAGACGTCATTATTCGCTGGTTCAAGGAAGAGCAGATCCCTCGACGTGCTGGGTTTGAGAGAAACACTAACAGGATTGCTCAATGGTTTCATGGTAATACACTGATTCTTCATTTCTTCTATAATAGAACTGTAAAGATATGCTCAGGAAATAAATCACAAAGAGGAACATCTAATGACATTGTGAAATCTAGTACCTGTTAAAACAAGGTTTTTGCATCATTCCTATTATTAGCATATTATTTTCCTGTTTTCTGTTTTATGATTAAGTAGACTAATTTGTGACTAAAGTTTTTTTCATTAATATTTTGGCCAATATATGCTTGCTGTAAAATAGCAAGCCAAGCAGGAGGAATGAGACCAAGATAGGGTGAGGAGGATTCCAAAACAAACTGGCAAATATTGTAGTGATATGGTATGTGGATGACTGACATTCATGTTTTTGCTTTACCTGATTTGCAAGAAGGACTTGAACTCATGTCTGTTTAATCCCTGTTGAACTTTATAAACTGGGGTAGCATTTTTTCTTTCTCGCTTTCTTTTGTGAACAAAAATTATTGAAAGATCTTGATTTTTCTCAGAAGGACTTAGGAGGTAGTTTTCATGGGAGGGGAAAACCAATTCCTGTTCAGATCCATGATTTGCTCTCTCATGTGCTGGAGTTCCTAGCATCTCTGAGGCTTTTGCTCTGTATAATATTTGATATGCAGCTGAATCTTTGATATCAAATTCACAGGTAAGACATCTTATTTTCATAGGTATTAGCAAGGATCTTTACATTTGTTATACTTAAACATGAAAAAAATAATTCTATCTTAATAGCTGACATGATCGAGGGACTAGAAAGACTTTAAAGTTAAATCTCAAAATTTTTTCATTGATGCTTTTGGTGAGTCTGGTATTTCCTTGTTCAAAGCCCTAATCTGACCCTGATCCTATTTTCATAATTCTCTAAGTATAAGAGGAAGTTGTATAGGCATTCTAAACTGAACCAGGCAAGGAAGATTTCTGAAAAGGTTTAGTGTTTCATATATTTCAGTTTTCTTTTTATGATGCACAAATCCTTATGTGTTAAAAGACACCAGCGAGCTGCTATTTTCCTTGGCTTAATTAGTCAAAGACACTGAAGTCGGTCATTAGTAGGTTGTAAATGCTACATACTTCCATTTCTTATGAACAATGATGGAGACAGGTGTTTTTTGTTCTCTGACAAAAGACACTTGGTTTGGTTTCTTTCAGAGAGCCAAACTGATTAAAATTTAATCTGTGGACATTTTGCAGAAGTATTTTCAACCATGGTCTTTCTGTGTGGTCTGATGGTAAATGTTTTCCGTGCTTGTGGGAAGTTCACATCCATATAAATTGACATGAGTAGTTATGAACATAATTCACACCTTAAGCATCTGGGCTTGAGCTAATACCTGTGCAGTCTTTCTACTAACGTCAGTGGCTTTTGGATTAGTCTGTTAACCACTGTAAGATCTGAGGGATACATGATGTTTCTTTCATGCTGTTCATATCTTAAGAAACTGTGACTATCCAGTGACATTTATAAAAGTGAGAAAAAGACCTCATTTGTCCTCCTCCCACTCAAGAGCCTGACAAGTATAATTAATATAGATTCCCAGAACAAAGCTCAGTGGTTTTCCTTGCAGGGATCCATACAAATGCTGTGTTGGTACATATCCACTGGATTAGCTGTGTTAGCTTCTGCAGCTCTGGCCAGATTCATCTTAATCCGCAGTGAACAACTCAGCTGTCTTGTAACTCTTCTGGTGTGGTGGAAACTAAACATCAAGTTGTTACAGATGCAGTACTCAATGTTTTGTAGTGTTATGTAGCGTCTATGTTACGTTTTGTAATGTAGACAGACTTTGAGGAAAAATAAACAAAAAGAATCAGAACAAAATACTAGAAAGTGTGGATATACCTTAACATCTTTTTTCCAAAAAAACAGCTCTTCATTGAATTGTCCTCCAGTTTAGGGCGGGGGGGTGGGGAGGTGGGGAGACGAAGACAACCAAAAAGCTTTTAATCCAGCCCAAAATCTTTTTTCTGTTGTTTATTTACTTCTCATTAAAATAAAGACTGTGACTTCAATATAGTCCTATTTAGGATCTTCTATGTTGTTAATGTATTCAGGGAACCAGGACATATTTATATGGTTTTCGTGTATGAAATAATTCAGCAGAACGTATCTGACTTGTATAAGAAATGGGCAATACAAATGACAGCCATTCTGCAAAGCCCAGAATCATGGCTAACCATTCGAGCCAAGGGGGCAATAATATAATCATCATTTGGATAGGTGGATGTTTCTGTGGAAAGAACTGCTTCCTAGTATGTAATGTTGTCTAGTATTATGGTGACAGGTTCTTAAAACCTCAAGCGTCTCTCAAAACAGGTTTAATTAGGTCCTTCACATCCTTGAACAACTTCTGTATTTTCTTATATCCCAGTATTGGACCAGAAAATGTGAGGATAATATTCTGACTCACATTAAGGGGTTTGTGAATGCAGTGCACTAAGAGATCTATTACAGCAGTATTGAAAATATTGATATTAGTTTGTTACAGAATGACATCTTTTTTGCCAAGGTCAACAGACCTTTGCTTACCTGCTTTGACTGTCAGGTTGCTCAGCTTTTTAGCTAAAGTTAAGCATTAGCTGCTTTACTGTCTTCAAATTGTACTATGGACACACAACATTTTCTCATTATACAGTGATGAAGGTTTGAGACAGATATGTTTGGCTAAAATACTGAAGTCCAAATAATAATGCAAAAATTTTTACCTCAAATATTTGCCATAATTAATTCATCAAACTAATCTGGATTCTGTTTTAAATATATATTGTATAGGGCATTTTCATGGTATGTAAAGCAGGGTAACATATGGCATACTTAATGTACCTGAAGTTTTCCTTTTTTTTTGAAGAATCACTACAGAATGTTTCATTTGGAGTGGTAAAATCTGTAGTAAATAAAAGTCTTTTAAAATCTGAGCATTTTCTTCCTTATTCACAAAAAGGTACTTCTTAAATGAGTATCAGTTTCAACTTCATCCATCTCTGTTTGTCTCCTGAAATTATCAGTTATCAGAACTCCAAGTAACATGTTTTTAGCTCATTTTGAATAGGCTTTACTGTTTTAATAATTAAAAAAATTATCTTGTTAAAGATACAAACTGTAATGTTCAGCTGAATTTTGCTATGTTTGAGTAACAGATCCTTGCCAAAAAACTAGATCATTTACTCCTTCAATATAAGATAGTTTTTTTAAAGTTTGTAAAGAAAAAAAAAATGTTCTTTTAAAATACCTGTTTTTAAAAGTTATTTTTAACTTAAAACCATCTTTAGTCCCTTCAGAAACCATAAAATTAGATTATCTTTACTCCATTTGGATTGGGAAGCAATGAGCCATTTTTTTTAAGTGGCTTATGCTCACTTAGTGGCCCCAGTGCAATGATGCTCAGTTCTCAAACTGCTAAAATAAAGGAGGATCAGATCAAGCAATTAAGGTGTCACTGAGACTATCTTGCGGTATAAGGTAATTGGTGTCTATATCTTTTGTACAAAACCCAGCTGTTTCTTTTGTATTATTTAAGTTGCCTAAGGTTTGAGTGAAAAGAATCATGCCTTCAATTTTTTGACTATGAAAACTAAGAAATTTATCTAAGTTTAATTATAGCTAAATTCTGATAATTTTGATAACCGGGAAGTTAATAACCATATTCTGATTTCTTACCTGCTAACTGATAAATATGGGCAGATGAGTCTAACTTACAAGGGCATCCTAATGTTGTATCGAGATGTATGAAACTTTTGTAAATCTGAATTCAGAACATGCTTTGTCCAGATCTCAGTTGCTGGTACGCTTTGAAAGCTGGGAAACAATCTGGTGTTTAGGATGGGAGTTCTGTCTCAAAAGGGCTAGAAAGGGGGGAGACATGCTCATTGTTTTGGCCAAATTTAGCTCTGAACTGGAATTTTACTTTCAAACCTCTGTGTGACCCATACCGAGTAAAAGGAAAAATACTGGCCTTCCCCATATGTTGAAGAGTTTTGCCGAGCTGTCACAGACACTAGCAAATTGTGGTTTTCAGTTTACTGCAGGCATAAAACACTGGGAATAGAATTCCACATGTCAACAAAACTAGAGGCCTCTTCCTCCCTTAGGTTTTTAACAAAAGGATGCTGGTGGCTTCAGCAGATACTTCCATTTGTTTGCTTTGTCTTTTATTTGTCCTTTAAACTTTCTCTTTTGCTTGAAATGCTTTTCAGCATTTTCTTTCCGTTCTCACTGGTTTGTCAGCTTTTTTTCATTTTTTAATTTTTTTTAACTTCAGACGCTAGACTTTTCGATTTCACACTTTCTGTTCTACATTTGGATATTTTCCATTCAGAACATATGAGAGTGTTGCTGCTTGGAGGGGGGTGGGGCTGATCTCTAAATATTTCCCCAGCATTAGTTGACACCAACGGTTTATGATTGTTGATGATATTTATCCATGATATAAAAGGAACATCTCAGATGTACAGTGAGTATAATACAATATGACAAAATGAGGAATTTATTTGTTGCCTGTCTGTGAGGTGGCTGTATGCATGTTTGCTAAGCATCTACTGTAGCACTATCAGGTCTCTACTTGCCTTCAGGTTGAAAGGAAAGCTCAGAGGCTGATATCACAGATCTGGAAACATGAGGTGGTCGCCCTAAAGGTTGCGCCTTTAAAATGTAATTACAGTAGCCTGGTTCCTACTGTGGCGAACTATTTTATCAAGGGAAGTCAGGGCCTCGGTGCAGTTACTGGTGAAGGGAGTGGCAGCTGGTGAAGAAGCTGATCAGAGCAGGTTGAAGGATGGATTGAAAAATGCTGAGAGAAGCAGAAGCTGAGTAATCCCAGAGGTCAGGTGAGCCAGGGAAGACAGTTTTGAGTTTAACAGGATCATGTTGCAAATGTTTATAGATCAAGGTTTAATTTCAGATAGCCAATACTGTTTTCAGGAAGAAACTTGTGTTCAAGAGGAAAATCTAGCAGACCTAAATAGTGACAGTCATTCTGAATATCAGATGCTCTCACTAAAGCATTCAAG